GAAAAAATAAGCTTTGAGGGAGAGAGATGAGGGAGTAATAGTGCACATACTATATAAGCCTGAAAAGAGGAATATTGGGACCAGGATAGTATACTGGGGAGAGGGAAGGGAGATAAGGAGAGTAGAGAAGATAATTAACCAAAGCATTAGAATACATGAAAATGCCATAAGAAAAATTTACTTTATACACCAGTTTTTAAAAATCAAAACAAGCTTTGGCAGTACAGAAAAATTTACATATACAACTTAGGTTTGGTATTTTTCTCAATTTTAAAATTAAATATATTTATAGCTTAAATGTACCCCTTCCCTCTCCTCCTGTACATCTCCCTTGTTACCTTTCAAATCCATGGCTTCTTTTCCTTTAATTATGCATATCCATGTACAACCTGCTGAATTCCCTTAGTGTTTCTTGGATGTATATGTTTCCAATGGTATTGTCTAAAAACTTACAGGGTTCATCCCTGGGGAAGACTAATTCTCCTCCAAGCAGTCATTATCTGCTTGAAGCTTTTTGCCTATGAGCCGGACCCATGAGACTTTCCTCTTCCACATTAGTATGTCTGTTGTTGTCATTGTTCAGATCTTGCTTAAGCAGGTGTATTTTATACTCATTTTTATAATTTATTTTTTTAAAAAATACTATTTTTCTCATTTTAAATACCAATCCCAATCCCCATTACCATCCCTCCTCCCGCTCCCTCTACCTTTCCCCCTCAACCCCCCATCTACTCCTCAGACAGGGTAAGCAAAGTCAACAAAGTCTAACACATTGCTTTGAGGAAGAACCAAGGCCCTCCCCACTATATCTAGGCTGAGCAAGGTATCCCTCCAAAGAGAATAGGTTCCAAAAAGCCAGTACAAGCAGTAGGGGTAAATCCTGATCTAACTGCCAGCGGCCCTACAGACTTTCCCAGCCATACAATTGTCATCCACTTTCAGAGGGCCTAGTTTGGTCCTATGCTGGTTTCCCCACTGTCAAACTGGAGACAGTGAGCTCCCATTAGCTCAGGCCAGCTGTTTCAGTGGGTATTCTCATTGTGGTCTTGACACCTTTGCTCATATTATTGTTCCTCTCTCTTTTCGACTGGATTGTGGGGTCTCAGTCCAGTGCTCCGCTGTGGATCTCTGCATCTGCTTCCATCAGTTGCTAGATGGTTTTATCATGATATTTAAGATAGATATCAATCTGACTACAGGGCAAGACCAGTTCAGGCATCCTCTCCACAAGTGCTTAGGGTCCTAGCTGGGGTCACACTTGTAGATTCCAGGGAATTTCTTGTCAGGTTTCTTGCTGGCCCTATAATGGCTCGCTCAATCAAGATATCTCTTTCCTTGCTTTCCCTCTCTGCCCTTCCCCCATCTCGATCATCCTGTGTCCTCAATTCTCCTCCACACTTCACCTTCTTCCCTCCTCCTCCCCTTCCCCCCATCCTTCTTCCCTCACCCCCATTCTATCAATTTTCTCCATAAATCTTGTCTATTTCCTCTTTCCAGGGTGATCTATATATGTTTCTTTTAGGGTTCACCTTGTTGCCTAGATTTTCTGGGGTCATGGACTATAGGCTCATTATCCTTTGCTTTACCCCAATATCTGAATATTTTTGAGGTTTCATGGGTGTAGTTTCGCTGTATTTTTAGGAGATTCAATCTCACAGTACACTTCCTTTCCTTAGGCTCTTAAAATTTTTCTACCCTTCTCCCATTATGTTCCATGAGCCTTAAATAGGAGTTATGTTGTAGATCTATCAACTGGGACTAGGCACCCATCCTACAATCAGTTGTTCTCTGCATTCTGACCAGTTGTGGAAACCTCAGCATCAGACATGTTGAATAAATACATTGTTTATAATGCTTTGGAATGAAGACATTTTAATGTTAATGATATTTAACATATATATTTAGGAAGGAGTTGGTCTAGCTATATATATATATACATATTGTTTGGTATATCTCATCCCTAAATTTGAGAGTTAGAAAGTTAATGGTGTTAAAATTTAATTCTTGCTTGTCTCATAGACACCCAAACTTAGTATATTCAAATAACCCACCCTTGACTTCTTTTAATACTTCTCCATTGATTCATTTAGTCTCCCCCTCTGGAAAGTGGCTATACCAGTTTTTTTTTTTATGCAAAGGATTCCCCTTCCATTCTTTCCCCATTACTGTGTGTATCAGTTACTTTTTATTGTTGTGATAAAATACCATGACCAAGGTTAGTTTAGAAAAAGAGTTAATTTGAACTTATGGTTTCAGAGAGTGAGAGTCCCCGATGATGGAGTGAAAGCCTGTTAATAGAAGCAGGAGTTGAGGGCTGACATTGTCATCTGCAAGCACCCAGCAGAAACAGCAAACTAGAATTAGCACAGGTCTTTAAACTCTCAAAATCTGGCCCAATGACACACTTCTTCCATCAGGGCCTCACTTCCTAACTCTACTTGAACAATACCCTCAGTTGGGATCCAAGTATTCAAATGTTTGAGACTGTGAGGAATATCGCATTCTAGCTATCTCTATAGACCTGTGGCCATGTAATAATGGAAAATATGTTTAGTGCAACTTCAAAAGTTCCATAATATTCCACAACCATAGCACTTCTTAAAAGTCCCAAGATTAATATCTCTTCTGAGACTCCTGGCAAAGTCACAAATCAAATCATGTATTTCAAATACATAAAGACACAAAATATACATTACCAATCAAAAAGGGAGGTATGGGGACATAGTGAAAAAATACTTGATAAAAATAAGACTGAATCTCATCAGGACGAACATCAAGTTCCATAGCTTCTTATCTAGTGTTAAAGGGCTTAGATTGCTCTGGCTTTGCTGCCTGTGATATATACCACCGTCTTGGGCTGGTTCCTCTCCCTGAATGCAGCTCTCTCTAACATGTATCTCACAGCAGGTGCATCTGACATCTTGGGATCTCCAATGCAAGCCAGACTACACTTATACAGCTTCATGAAATGGCTTCTCAGGGCCTCTTGTCCTCTTGGGGCTTTTATGCAGAGACTCCTGTGATGGACATTGAATTACATTACTACCAATTTATGCCTGTGGTTGATTTCCCAGAGCTGAAAATGCCGTATTCTCTCTTTCACAAGTTGGTAGGCAGCTGAGTGAGGCTATGCCGTGAGGATACCCTTCTCTTTATTACAATGTAGATCAACAGTCAAATCAGTATTCCTCCCCTTAAGATACTTTTAAATTTAGCCTCAGGCAAGTTCTTAGGACATGGACTGAAAGCAGGCAGTTTTTTTGTTACTTTTTTCTCTTAAAATATCACAGGAACAGTCTCTAGTCCAATTGCCAATATTGTTCTCTCTGAAAACCTCTTGAACTGGGTCTCCATAGTCCACATAGCTCTCAGCACTATTGTCTTCCAAACACCTACTAGGATGACACATTAATGTCCACTTACATCCTTCAATCACTTCTCTAGTCCAAAGTTACAAAGTCTCCCACATTACTCAAAAAAAAAAAAAAAATAGTATTGTCAGTTCTGTAACAGCAATAGCTCTTTCTCAAGTACCAACTTCTGTGTTAGGACTTTTCTATTGCTGTGATAAAACACCATGACTAAGGCAATTTATAGAAGGATGAATTTATTTGGGTTTACTGTTCCAGAGGGTTAAAATCCATGATGGTGGAACAAAGACATGGAAGAGGGAGCAGGGAGCCAAGGGCTCAGATCTCAACCTACAAGCACCAAGAAGAGACTAAGCAAGAAATGGCACAGTTTTAAACTCTCAAAGCCTTTCCTAGTGACATCATTTGGCTTTCTTTGACTTTCCATTCATTTATTAGTTTTTCATTTTCTTGCCCACTATGTTCATAGCATTTTTTCTCTTATAGCCTTAGTTTATAATTATTTTTGATTTTTATCAGACTATAGCAATTTGCTTATTTTTGCCTTATTGTTGCAAATTATAGTCTCTTCATGAGAGCAGGGTCAAGAATACATCATAGAATAATACATAATGAAATAATCTAGACCAAATCTTGATAGAGAGATAACTACTCAAAATTTGTAAGTGGAATAAATTAATGGATAAAATCACTAGTATATTAATAATATTTATTCACACATATTTAATTGCTAGTAATAATTGTTTTGAATAAGCGAACACAGACTATGAAGACTAAAGACTGGAGACTTTATTATTATTAATATTTTCGTACAATATATTTTGATCATATTATTTCTCATCTCCCAGATCTTCCACATTTTCCTACCAACCCAAACTCGTGTTCTCTTGCTCTCTCTCAAAATAAAAACTTAGAAAAAAATCAAAAATATAACATTAAACAAACAAAACAATAAAAGTAAAAATAAATAAAAACCATGAACTCCATTTTGTACTGATCAATTACTCCTGGACACAGAGCTTGCCTTGGGGGTATAGTTGATATACCCAGGGTCACTTTATCGGGGAAAACCCATTTTCCCTTTGCCAGCAGGTACCAACCACAAATAGCTTCTTGATTAGTGTTAGGACTTTGTGTTTGCTTCTTCTCTGTGCTAGGATTTTGTCTGTCAAAACTAGAGTTCTTATCCTAGATCTGTCACTGGTTATAATCCTAGCTTAACCTAGAAAATCAATTTAGTCTATAAAAACCTTCATTTTCTCATCAGTAAAATGTAGGCTACAGCAGTCTCTACTGTATACACAGGTCTTGTGATATAGGAAATCAGAGGCATAGTCCACATTCATAAAAATCAAAGAACGGAGGCTTGTCACCATTCTTTTTTTTAAGCTGCAACCCTTCCTTTCTTATTTACCACCAAGATCTTACATTGAATTTTCAGTCCCTTTAAAACAGCCAATTTCTTTTCAAATTCAAAGTCCCTCAACTGTGATCTCCATTAAAATAAAAAATAAAAGAAATACTCTCTGTAAGAGGGAAGAACCAGGACACAGTCACAATCTGAGCCAAGCAAAACTGAACTCCAACAGTATAAATAACGCAATGTTCAGTTATCTGGGATTCACTCACCATCTTCTGGGCTCCTCCAAAGGACTTGGTTCACTTCTCTGGCTCTGCCCTTTGCGGCATACAGGGCTTCTAGACTCTAGTTGCCTTCACTCCACTGCTACTGTTCTTGTGGCTGACCCATGACCACCATTTCTTTTATATCGTAGGAACCATGGAAGGTAACAAAGACTCACTAGAAAACACAGCTTACCACTATCAAAGAAAATGACCTTCCCTGAAGGATAAGGACCAGTTTTCAATCATGAGTACATGAATAGTTAGCTGTGCTTTCTTGCTAGAAATGAGTTCTTCAAATGAGTTCTCTAGAGGCAGAAATGTGCTACTTCACAAACCTTTGCAGGGACTGCTATCTAATTTGCAACCTTGAAGCCTAATCACATGAGATATATAAAAGACAGTTAATGTAGAATGAGGAAACAAAGATGAATTTTGTTGAAATACATTCCCAAATGCCCAGCTTGACCATGGAGGATCATATTAGGGAAAATGAGCACACAGCTTTTAATGTGAGGCCATGTTTGTGGCTACAGTTGCATCTTCACACCGTCAGCCACGTGACTTGTGCCAAACCTCTCCCAGCTTTCTTTTAGTTATGTGAAGAATTGGAATAATAAAACCAATTGTAGTTATTTTTGAAAGTATTGCTAGAATTCCTCTGTTTACAATGACTCAGTTCTGTCAAACATCTGACAGTAAATATCTTCATCCCCTTAAACTGCAAGATTCAAGAGAGATGCCGTGGCTTTCCTAAGCATAATAGCCAGCAAGTTTTGTGTATTATTATAGGTTATGGAATTCTTACTTAGTGTTTTTTTTTTCTGTTTGTTCAATTAAATCATTACCTCAAGTCTGTGTGGTAAACATGATTATATTATAGTTGTGGAATATGAAGCTCCAAGAGGGTAAGTAATTTGACCGAGATGGTTCTACTAAAAAATATGAATCCCAAGGTCCCAATACAAGTCTCTGACAGTATTCAGTACCACTTCCAGTACCACTATAAGCCAAGGACAAGAGTCTGAGTCAGGATTTGACACAGATAGAACTAAATTTTAGAACTGTGTAGTAGACAATGAGTTCATCGCTCTGCATTACCTTCATTTTGGGCCAGATCACAAGCATCACAGACACTTTGACTCTAAGACCATCGTGCTTTTGGACCTACAGTCCTCCCAGATCAATATTCTACCCCTCAAGGTGTTTGTGGTAGCTTAAGAACATACCAGGCACAGACATGTAGACCACTGCATATGGATGTGCAGGTTGGAAGGTCACTGCACATTTGGATGAACTTGGGTTAAGGAAAGCTACATATGATCTAGAGAGATGGCTCAGACATTAAAGGCTAGACTTACAATCAAAGCTTCAAGAACCTCCCCTATACTCCCAGAAAAAAACCTAAAACAAATGAAACAAACAAACAAACAACAACAACAACAAAAACAATGGTGCACATTCAAGAGCATGTGTAATGCAGAAAATCTTGAAGTCCATTGGAAATGCTCCATTACTTGAGAAGTTAGCTTCTCAGGGTCAGTCATCAACTGACTTTTTCATTTGCTTTCGTCGACAGGTCCAGCTGTGAGATACAACAAGTTCAAGATGTCAGAGGCCAAGCCACCTCCCCTGCTGGGACAGCACACCAAGCACATTCTGAAAGAGGTCCTCGGATATGATGACAGGGCTATTGGGGACTTACTCTGCTCTGGTGTGATAGCACAACATGAAACCAAGTGACAGAGGAGACCGCATCAGAAAACTGCCCCTGGCTGGCCCAGACTATGCTCTGTGCATGCCTGTCCCTAGTCTTGATCCCACTGAAAGGTCAAGTAGAAACTGCAGATTTCCTGCCTGGAATCTCTGGGGGTAACTTTAGAATTAAAGTCTAGTGCCCATTGAAAACCTTACTATTCTTTTTTTGTTTGTTTGTTTGTTTTCGAGGCAGGGTTTCTCTGTGGTTTTGGAGCCTGTCCTGGAACTAGCTCTTGTAGACCAGGCTGGTCTCGAACTCACAGAGATCCGCCTGCCTCTGCCTCCCAAGTGCTGGGATTAAAGGCGTGTGCCACCACCGCCCGGCCTAAACCTTACTATTCTTTTGACCTTTTGCTCCCCAGAAAATAATTTGTTGGTTTGTGGACTTTGATTAATTCTATTGTTTTTATCCATAAGAACTGTGACCGTTTGGTAAAGGAATGTTTTTTCGATTTGATTCCTCCCCAATGTACACGTGTATGGAAATATCACATTATAAACTGTAGTTTTGATTTGTCAATTGAAAATAAAACCAAACATGAAAAATATTTTTTTCTGGAAAAAAGCCCCCTTTATTTTAATTACCTTAATGCCCTAAAATGGTTGCCTGTCCCACCCACACAAGCCTGAAAAAAAACAGAACTCTTGACATTTTCTACTTGTACATAAAGTCCTCGTTTAAATCTTTGTTAGGAAGTCAAAGCAATAAGCAGAATGACAGTCTCTGTGATTGATTTTAAACAGTAGAACTTAATTTCCAGCCCACAAACCCTGTGTTAGTCTGTAATTTAAACCACGGATTTTGTTGATGTCTGTTGTAAGACTGAGCTCCTCTCTGCCCATAAGGAGTGAATATTTGCTCTTTGTTGCATTTCCCTGGTGACACTGTGATGTACAATGGAAGACCGATTTCTACCTATTCATTTAGGGTGTGAGTATTTGTGCGTGGGAGAGAGCAGAGGGGTTGCTCCCTTGCTACCTTATTTTGAGACATAGCCAACTGCTGCACACTTTAAATAAATGTGAGGTGATACATGTTAAAGTGTAAAGGGGGAAATGATAGGAAGTATTTCTTTATAATTTGAAGATCTCTGTAGAAGACAGAATCATGTCTTTGTGTTTTGATTTGTCAGCGAATTCCAATTATAGAAAACTCTGTCTTGAAGATAACAAGTAATCAGGATATATGCTTTAGAATGAATTGCCACCGGAAACTGCATAGGCCAGGTGCAGACCAGGTCATCAGGCATCACGTGCTCAGTGTCCTGGTATGACCTCGCTCATGGCCATAGGCATACACATAACGCATTTCCATTATATTCTGGTAGTAATTTAAAGCTAAGTTGCCGATATTCATCTTTCAAACTGATTCAAAGGTAGTTTTCTTTTTATTTGGGATGGTTTGAGCCACTAACTGGTGCTGTAAGGCATGATATGTCTCTAGTATCAAGGATACCAAATAGAAAGAATCCCTAAAGAGTTTTCAGAGGAAATCCTCTAACTTTTTAGGATTTCCCCAACCCCAGCTTTGCTCTTCAACATGTTGTGCTCTGAAGAACCCCTGCCATTATTCCGTTAGAAAGAATTTTGTCATGATATAGTAGCTTGATGCCTTCTGAAGACCTTTGTCTCAGTCCTTAATGTATAGAGACATATATGAGATGTTTACATCAAGCTAGGCATTTGAAGATTTAAGTATTTTATTGTAAGAGTATTTCCTGCATGTATGTATGCATGTCATCTGTATACCTGATGCCTGCAGAGTTCATTAGATAACACTGAATCCTCTGGAAAGTAGAATTTAGATGGCTGTTAGCTACTACGTGGTTTGAGAACTGAACTTAAGTCCTCTGCCAGAGTAGTGAGTGCTCTTAACCTTCAAACCATGTTCCAGTCCCCAAGCCAGATATATTACAGAAAATACCTTTACAGTCCTATGTCTCATATGGAAATCAGGAAAAGGCTGGGTGACAGAATTGATAACACCACATATCTTGAAAGCCAGATGCATAGTTTTTTCTATTAAACATAAAGTCTCAAAATGCAATACTCCTTATTGAGAAATAATTCTAAATATGTGAGTATCCATATATAAGAAGATTCTGTCATGCATAGGGCCAGAATGTACCTCTTAAGCTTTCAGGGTCAATAAAGATTGAAGTCTTCAAATATGGTAGGACAACCACTGAAGTGTGACTAGGTCTCCAGACTTTTACCTCCATAGCTCAGAATGTTCCCAGAGAACTATGGATTTCTGATCACTCATCCATCTTAAAGCATTTACTTCACTGATTTTTTTTTAAGTTCAGGCTGTGCTTCACGTTCACTTTGATTATCAGTTCTGAAAGAAGCACTGTGCTTACTAAAATTTCAAGATTTCTAGCAATATGCCCCAGATCAAATTATGCTTATAAACAAATGTGCTGTTTTAATTATCAGAGCTGGTTATCTTACACAGTCCCCAAAATAACACACTACTAAGATACCATATGCTCAAGTTCAATTCGTGTCAAGGCCTGCCTTCTGGAAGGTTATGTCTGTGATTGGCCTCAAAAACTCCTTGAAAATCAGTGAGTTAATTGTTACAGAATTGGAGGTATGTCCACAAGCAAATGGGCTAGTTTTTCCTGAAAAATTTTCCACCAGAATTTTCTTCTTAATCAACATATTTTTTTTTCTGGTGCTTAGTCTAATATGCTGAATGTTCTTTTAGCAGAAATACAACTAGCAATGATGTCTTTTGTATAAATGCTGTAGTTACTCCCCATCTGACCTTGGGTTTGAGATACCCAATGGTTTTAGCGATACAGTCATGATTGGGGAAAATAAAGAGGAAAATGAGTAACCAAGGATAGGGTTATGGAGGGTATATTGTCTGTTTGATATTATAACCTTAGACCACTCGTGTTAGATATCACCCTATGCAAGGATCTGTATGTGAAGATCTCACAACCTCTCCATTTAAATTTTCTTACAAAAATGTTTATACTCATTTGTACAGCAGTTCAATTTGATGTTACACTTCTGACTGGTGTCTTACCTTTGGCAAGTTGCCTATTTTAAAATCTGTGTAGGCAGAGGGTATAGTTTAGTAGTAGAACACTAGACTAGCATATATGAGGCCATGCACTTACTCCTTAATCATGCAAAAACATACTATTAAAAGCTATATAGATATGAGTCTTCTTGATTACCCTCTTAAAGGCCCAGAGCTGCCTTCATCAGGAGGGCTGTTTCTCTAAGTAACTGGCCCGAAGAATATGAGAAGGAATGGCAGTTGCTGGCCTCATGAGACTGTCCATATCTTTGGTAGCTTGGAGCTGCTGACCCTTGACTCTCAATGACAAAGAAGTTAATTGGGGAAGAATATATTCTTTACCCTCCATAACCCTATCCTTGGTTACTCATTTTCCTAATCATTCCCCAAAATGAAGTCCTGTCATTGACTCATGAATGAAGGACTCTCTGCTGCTAAAGTCATCTGTCATGTTGGTGAGACTCTGACTGTTCTGTCGAGTACTAGCCTTGGCCGTGGCCTTAGTGTTTTCCTGTTCTTTCTAAAAGAGGACAAGCTCCAAATCATGAGTAATGGCTTGAGTTCAATGACTTCCAGGAGGATGGATAGTACTTTGCCCTCTATCCGACCTTGCTGTCTGTCATAGAATTAAAGAATCCTCATATTTTTTCAACGATATGCAAAATGTTTCCACACACACCTTCCCTATTATGTCCTCCTTTGCAAATCAACTCTGTGACTGTTGGTTTCTTTGGCTCCTTACCACATAGATTGGAGAAATGCTTTTCTGGCTCCTTAACCTGTCACCAACACCACATCTTCCCCTGACCCCAGCAGCATAGGGCTTACCCAATAGTGGTGTATTCAGCCTCGAAACATGCAGCAGAGAGGTTGGGAGAAAAAAAATAAAGTAAAGCTGCCTCAGGGGGAAAATCTTATTTCTACCTCTTTACCTCCTGTGAACCCTAAAGAAAAAATTAGACTTGCTAAATATCTCTTGGTATGAGAGATGTAGAGCCTAATAGTTTTGGATTTGTGTTTTTAGAAGGAATTCCTGATCACCCTTGATAGATGCCTTGTACTGTGAGTGGACACTGTGCTTCTTCCTTGAAGAAGGTCCAGAGAACTGATATTTTCTCTTTGAGAGTGATCTTTAACTACTTATTACGTAGATAAAAAAGAGCACTCTGCTCCTTATCTGAATAGGATTGCCCTACATACCCTGAACATGCTTACGGTGACACTGGCGCTGTGCATGAGTTCTCTAACCCACGAGCCCAACTCTGGAAACAACGCCTGCCATCCCGAGAGCCCTCTCATCCTGCTTTCTTTACTGTGAAACAGGAAAGCCTGAGTCAACAGCAAACTAAGATGCCCTGGTTTTAAGATCACGTGAGAATGGGAAATACCGAGGCACTTGAATTTCCAGCCCTGAGCCCATGTTTCCTATCTTCTGACTTCCAAACACTTTGTGTGCTGCTCCTGCTTTATTTTCTGGGAAATCCAGGTTAAAGAAAGTGGCCCTGGTGCTGAGGTGCTTAGGACTCAGGAGGTAAATGGGGTGTGTGAATTCCTTGACAAACCATCACAAGGTCACACGGATCAATCTGTGTGCTTTATGCAACTCCTCTCATAGTACTCAGGTGAAGCAAGGTGAAACAGTGCCTTGGTGGGTCTCTGTGTGGGTGCATTCTGGGGGAAGCTTTATTAACTTGGCAAAAAGAGCTCACAGATCCAGAATAGGCCTGGTAGAGGAGGTAGAGGACCCTGACAGTAGTCGGAGCTATACTTTTAATTTCTTGCACAAAATGGAAGTAGATTTGCAAGACTTGTCTACAGAAAGATTTAAAAATATTATATAACATATAGTTACCTGTCAGAATCTGTAACAAATAAAATTCAGCAATGTTGGAAGATTATTTGGTGAGTTCTATGACTGATAATAAATTTGAAGCTGCACAATGTTGGTAACTGAATCTGTTACATTCTTACATGTAAGGGACTGTTTAATGTAAGTTCCCACTGAAGTGACTTACACATAGTAATCCTGTATCAAAAGATGTCTGGGGAGGCCTGGAGGGCATTATCTTCGAAGAGAAAATCACATTCCTGTTTGAACACTTTTGTACTCTCTAGTCTGTCATATTCAATGGGACTAAGTGGCCCTTTGCATTCTTACTGCAAGCATCACTTTCAGATAATATCCTTAAACTCATAGATATCAAAGCTTTAAATATCCTTGAAGATGAGTGGGCAAGGACACTATGGAAGCAAGCAAGACCCTAACAAAGTCACTTTGACCTTTGCACATACTCTACAGTAAGAGAATTCCCAAGGGCATCCAAGGAACCAGATTGCTGTGGATGCATCCTTCTGCAGCCTCTTCGGGCATAATTTTATCTGTTACAATCCTAAGAATGTGTGTATTTATAAAAGAGAAACTTAGAGGATGTGGTTCTGTTTAGTTCTTTTTAAATGTTAGATATAGAATTGTCGATGAAATTACAAATAAGTAACAACTCTCCCAAAAGC